AATGCTGAGGGCATGTTGTGTGGCTTGTGTCACGATCTTTCTAAACTTGGGATCCTATTTTCTTTTTCTCCCTCAACCTGTGGGCCATAAACATGGAACAAAATAGAATGGTCTGAGATGATTTATTTTTCATCTCCATTAGGAAGGTTGTCCAGAATACTTCCTGTGTCCCTGTTTCCCCAGCCCTTCCCTAGAGCCAGTAGTCACTTCTGGTTGGTCTGGTCTGAGTCACACCTGACAGTTTTATTAGTGCTCATGAACAGCATTGGGCAATGGCTGGATCACTGGCTGAAACTTGGCAGTATTTCTGTAATATCACGGATTTGGGCTTCTGGCAGGCACGCAGCTGACACCCTGGGACACTGGTTTGACAATGGACGTCTCTGTTCATCTCAGAAATAATTGTAACAGAAAAAAATAATCTTGTGATAATCATCTACAAAGCAGAAAAAAAAAAATTAAAAGAAAACATAGCAATTTACCTAGTGTCTGGTCTATTCACTAACAGGTTTCTCAACACTGAAATGGTTCCTCTTTTCTTCCCAAATTATTTAAGAGCAATAAACATACTCATCAGCTGACTTGTCCTCCAGTGGCTTTGAGAGCTTTTAAAGGGCTGCTTTATTTCCTCTCCTTCATTCCTGGCAAAATCACAAATATCTAACTGAACTCACATTACTTAAATAGAAACTAATAGAAGAGATGGTTGTACAAGTAGTTCAGGGTCTGGTCACAAATATGCACTAAGCTGCTGGTTCTCCTGGGTGAATTTCACCTTGAACAGAGAAAACAATTACAGCTTGTTAAATCAAAAAAGGTAACAATCCTTCTTGCATTTTAGTCAATCTAGCTATAGAGTGAAGTGGAAAGGCAAAAGAAGAATCTGAAGAGTGTTGGCCTGATAGCTCAGTTGTTATTTATAGCAAAAAAGAATAATCATAAAATAAGATTAAAATATTTTCGTTTTAGACTGTTATCCTAAAACAAATCACAACCAATCTGAACCAATAAATAATGGAGAGAAGTGTTTAAAAATAAAAAAATACTAATGAAAACATGATTTTTTTTTTAATGCTTCTTCTGGAAGCGTGCTGTGCCAAGTGGAGTAGTAAACATACCTAATTTGAATCACTGGAGATGTAAACTAGCCATATACTTGAGCTTAGGTGGTTCCTATGAGTTTATAACTGCTTTGTATCTTTTGAGAATTCAGGAAAATACGGCACACAGATTTTTAAACTGATTCTGGCTACAGAGGCACAACACATTCTTTTCTGTTTTTAATAAGTCTCTCTCTTTGTGCAACAAATCCTTCTAAAAAATGGTACCAGCAGTGCTAACCAATGGGTAGCAGCTAGAGGCTGGGGGGAGAGGAATTGCTTTGTCTGGACAGAGACTAAGGGATTTGTACACCCAAATTTCTATTGTTTTTAATAAGAATTTGGCTTCAAAAGTCATAGCCCTCATATGTATTCAGTCTCTGAGAACTGGAGGTCTCTAAGCATGCATTCCTGTCTTGCTGGATCCAATCCCCCACTGGCTGGTGCACCAGCTGGGGGAGGCAGGGTTGGCATTGCACCTGGCAAGACTCCTCCTTGTCAGGTGCACGTGGCTGCTTTTCTGCTTGAGAGCATCTGCCACTGACTGGCTGTAGCTTACAGCTGGGGCAAAGGAGGGACCCATATCCCACCAGGAGTGCAGAGGTTCCTTAACAGTCTTAAGAAGGTTAACTATGTTATAATATGAATTGGTTTTTCTTATTCTTTCAGTGTCTTTTCAGGAGATTAGGAGAGACTTTATGTAAATGGAGTTCTTGTGCATTCTACCTATATTCTGTATGCTCTGGTAAATTGTCATTCTGATACGGAAATAACTGAAGGAAATGGAAAAATAAACTTTAAAAATATTCTTTAATAAAATTGATTTCCTCGTTTCAGTTCCGATGGGAAACCTGAATAAAAATGTGAAAGTATTAAGTATATAACAAGGGTATGCTGATTTATTTTCTGAAGACCTCTGTGATTATTGAGAACTCTGATTTAAGATTATTTACAGGAGAGCTAAGTGTTACTGTTATTTTCTTGTAGTCAATTCATCAGCAGCTGATAAGTAAAGAATGTAACTTGGTAAAGTGTTGCAGACAAAGGGAATTTTTGCAATAATGTTTTCATTTTCATTACCTTTTCAAGGGACTCTGATTTGTACAGAAGAGAACTAACTATTGAAAGACAGCATTCACTGTTACATATGCTGATTAAAATATTTCAGAGGAGTAGATTCTTGAGCAGAACTTCAGTGGTGGTGCAGTTAGTTTAACATATGTTCACTGGAAGTTTCTTAGTGTGAAAGATGTCAGAAAAATGAGAAACTTAGAAACCTTGGTCAAGTCATGAAGACAATGGGACACATCATTTTGACACAGGAATTTTTCCATAAAAATGAGTCTGGCTGGACTCCAGAATTAATTCCAGGCTGAATTATGATTCCATTCTGTATCTTACTTAATTTTAGAAACCTGAGTAGTGAGTGGTTCTTACACTGAACTGTATTACGTGCACTGTTTAAACATGCTGAGTACAGCACGAGTGTGACTCTTTTTTTAAGTACACTTCTCTTTTACGTGTTTTTACTTAGAATGGTTCTGTAGGTTAGTGCTGGACACACAGTGTGTGGTTCTAGAAGGGAAGTCACATTATCTGCCAGTGCTGAGCATAAAGAAGAGGGGAAATGCTCTCCAAACTGTATGAAAAGAATGTATGAACAAGCATGTTTTTACTTTCTTGCCATTGCAGCTGCTGCTTTTTATCCTAAGAAAATAAATGATCAGTGCAGATAAGGTGATGGCTGAAATTCTCCATATGTTTCCATAGATATGAAGCTTTCTGGCAGAATAGCACAATTCTTTGTGCAGGCAACTGAATCACCAGAGCTAGTGAGCTAGATTAATGTGAGGAATTATATTTATTAATGTAAGAAATTATCTTTAAATGTCTCTTTAGTGCTTAGGATATCTCTAGGTGTCACTGGCATTTGCCTGCCTTCCCACCTAGCTTTTCTCCCTCAGTGCCAATCCTTTCTGGGTTCGTTTCTCCCAGTGAAACATCCATACAACCTATCAGTCTGTTTCTGAGTTTGTGCCACCTGCCTGTGTCCTGACCACATCAATCTCTGTGGGGTTCAGCCCACATCTTAAAACTGAGGGAAATATGTTCTCATCATCTTTCTTTTCTGTCTTGCTTGTGGTTACAGAAAAAAAAAGCATGTAGAGAATATGTATAATTTAATCAGAAAAAGTCCTGTTTTGTGGTGTTGAGTCAAGCATTCCTTAGGGTTCTTACCTTTCAGTCAGTAGATGCTGAGATTTTTTGCCTGTTTGGTGAATTAAAACATCTTTTTGCCAGGAGAACGATGTAACACTACTCAGGGCTGGGGTTTTTGTACTTGGTGGCCTCCTACTTATGTTCCTGCTGAATTTTCCTTATGCAGTTTCTGGAGGGATAAGAAAAAGAATGATTTATAGAAAATCTATCTTAGGATATTTACTAGAGAGGAAGGAGATGTAGATCTATTTATTGAGACTAATAGGCATCTAGAAAGTGAAATAGTATATTTTAAAAGGAAGAAAATAAGAAGGTGTGTGTGTGCATGGATGGTGGGCAGGACAGTGGGAACCTGCTCTGACATCTTGGTGGCTGACTTTCTGCTGGGAGATGTAGGTTAAAAGTCTCTCAGCAGAGAAAGAATGGAAAACCAAGGCTGAGACTGAGCCATTTGTGAGTGTGTACCTCTGTATGAGTATGTGTGTGCAATCTTATGCTGCACTTGTCTTTGTGTTGCCTAATGGCTGGTTTAAGCAGCTTCTTGCTTAGTTTGCTGGTGTCTGTGTATTCAATTTCAATGCGCCTAGAGGCTTCTGATTGATTTATGTGTTGCTGCCAGCTTGAGACAGCTAATGTGGTTATCACCTCTAGCTGTTTACCCCACCCTTAAAGAGCTCAATAACTTCAGTGGTTCAGCAGCTGGTTTGTGAACAGCTCAAATATCAGCTCAGGGAGAGTGAGGGGAACACTTGGGCACAGTAACCTCAGCAGCTGTCTGAGACTGAGCCATCTCTTCTCGTTCCTGTGAGCCAGTGTCCCCTCACATGGCACAGACCAGGTACAAAGCAGTTCTGTGGCCAGGTGCCCTTCTGGATATAGCTTAGATACACGAGAAATCGATGTTATAGTGCTGAAGGTAGCTGTTCTAGAATAGTTCCTGTGGATTAAAGTGCCTTAACTCTGTGTATAGTGAGGAGCCTCATTTGCAGATGCTAGATTGGGAGGCGTTGTTAAGACTGGGAAAGCCCATTTTAGTGTACCTGGAAACGGGCACCTCAGGAATGTCACTTGGCAAGGTGAGAATCCCATCACAGACTGGGAGTCAGTTACTTAACTACATCTCTGCTTCTGGATCTGTTTTTTAGATTCTTTTCATAACTCTAAGTGGAGAAATGGATACTCTTTTACAGTATAGAGCATTTCTAATGACTCAAATAGGCCAAGTAATGGGGCATCCTAACCTGTTCATTCCTGCCCCGTTTTTGCAGCTGCCTCCAGCTCATATAGAAAAGGGCAAAGGTCCTCTTAGTTACCCAAATAAAAGTTAATTTCTCTAAGTGCTCACCTACTGCCTAGTGGCTTTTTGCAATGTGACTAGAGTCACTTAGGGTTCTTATCTTAGCATTGTGATTTAGAGAGAGAAGAGAAACTTCTGGATAGAGATGTCAATAGTCAATTGCTCTGGGTTTCTGGGAAATGTGTAGCTGATACAAACTGTATAAACAGATCTCTATGAAAAACTATTTTAAATTGGAATCTACAGAGTTGAGGAAAAAACGTATGTTTCCTTTTTCTGTCTAGGTTAAATTACAAAGGTGGATGCATATAAATAATGTTTTTCCTTGAAATTCTTATCTAGTTATTTTCCATTTCTTTCCCTTTTTCTTGTTTACGGTCTCCATGCTTATATAACAGCTCTCAAGAGGAAGCTGCAAACAAGCCCATCTGGTTGCTTGTGCCAGCTGTTTTAGTGGAGGCATGCTGGATGTGACTGAGCTCCACCTTCTTTGTTGAGGTACATTATAGGAGAGACACCATAATGTATGGTTCAGTCAGAATGATAGCTGCTTAACCTCTTGGTACTCTTTTCATTAATTCTTTCTTGGATCAGTTATTGTGTTTTGTCTGTCACAAAACTGGGTTGAAAACTGCTCTGGGCATGGAATGTGTCATTCATTTAAACAACATCAAGGCACACTGTTCATGCTTAATTATTACTTTAATGCAAGTGCTAAACTGTTTTCAGTTACATCTAACAAACATGTTTTCTGGGACTGGTTGCTGGCTGACCTCAAGTAAGGGCATGTTAGGCTAAGCCTTGAAATGCTGCATCAAGCTGTCATCTCAAATAGAAGTGAGCTCATTCATCCTCCCGTGAACTATCATATAGAGGAACTGATGGAAGCAAGATATATTAACTGCCCACCACAAAGGACATTACAGTGTGCTGATTTATGATGAGAAAATTCTAGAGTAATCCTATTGATGATGCCTAAAAACATCTGTTCACAGAGTTGCAGTAGCTGAGCTAGGAATACTGTGTAATAGATGAAAGCCACCTGTTGATGAAATCTTTAAAAACAATATATAAATATTTCTGTTGGTGCTGTTGCATCAGTTCTTTTTCAGGATATCCATTATGGCATGACATTCATTTGGAAATGGTCAGAATATTTATAGGCCCAGTTCCAGTAGAACATGAGCATGTGACCAGTGCTCTTACTTTCAGTTGCTCAGAAAACCAGTTTGATGCAATGTTTAGAAGTGAATGTCATGCTAAATTAATTTTAAGGACAGAGAAAAAAGAAAAGTCTAAATAGATTTTTTTTTCAGAATAAGGTACATATAGAAAACAAAGTCTAAGCTGTGTCTAATTGACAGATCATTCTAAAAGATTAAGAAGAAACCACCACAATACCTAATGCCTTGGTAATGGTAGGATTTGCTGGATTTTGACATGCTCCAAATAAATTACTTCTGAGCAATAGATTTTGGGACATCCACAATCACTTCATAGGGCTGATGCATTTTAATCTGAAACTAGTCAGAGGGCACATCCACTTCAATTGACCTACCATTCACCCTGATATCATCATTACTCTATTTTAGCAGTTGACTAATATAATGACAGCACCCCTATAAAGATATAGACCTGACCTAAAACTTCCTACAGGCATGATCCTAAGGCTTGAGAGACTTGTTTGTTTCTGAGTAACATCTGTTGGGAAAATCCATTATATCTGTCAGTGGATTTGTTTTGACATCTAAGACCAAACTTTCCCAGGTTCTCATTTTTATTTTCTTCCTTCCTGCCTATCTTTCCTGTGTCTCCACTAAAATGATGCTCATCACTATCCTTTCTTCCTGCCAGTGGCAGTGGGAGCAGCCAGCAGGGCTTGGCTTGACAAATACCAAATGAAGCTTATATGTGCCAGGAATGTCTGCCCGTGTTAGTGACAGCCCCTAGCTTACCAGTTATTGTACCAGAGTCTTTTGAAAGAGAATTTTTAAGTGGGAATGACTGTGAAACCAGTTGTCTTTTGCTGCCCTTAATGTAGAATCATTAAGAGCTCTAAAATTTCAACTCATCTTTTGAGTTTGAAGAAAACTCTCTTTGTAAATTTCCTGGCCCAGAGTGCTCTTACTTCATGCCACGGTACTCTGTTGGTTTGTCGTGGTTCTAAGGAATAAATCCTGTTTTAAATTTCCTTGGTTTTTATAACAAAGGGCTCTGGAGGAAAGAAAATCTTTTAATCCTCCCAGCAATAACCTGACACGACCTTCTAAATACACTATTAACTCAAAAATATTAGCAATATTTTGTAGCTGTCTTAAGAAGAGCTTACAATAGAGATGGACCAAATATTTAGAAGAATAATTATACTTAGTTCTGAGGAAATTAGTATCCATAACACAATTACACATTTAAAAAGGGCTAAATGTTAAAAAGTATTTAAAAAGCCAGGCAGTAGGGTATTGTTCAGTAGCACTGGCAAAATGCAGACAGTTTTCTGCATGATCTTTCTAGGCTTGTGACTTCCTGACTGCCTTAGAACAAATTACTTGCCTTCTCTATATTCTTTAGTTACTCCAATCTGTTTTTCCTTTCCTTCATAACTGCTTACCTTTCAGAAGATGTTCAAAATTTATTTTAATATGTTCAATATGAGAGCCTTAGAAGACCTTCAGGAGAGTTTTCTGCAAACCTGGCCTCTCTGCTATGTCAGTAGGCTGCCAGGAGTTGCACACAGCTTAAATATCAAATAGGTGTTTTGTAAAAATGGAATACCGTTGTACTAGTATAATTACAGTAACCTAACTAATTTGGACAGAAAATTATGGCAGTAAAGCGTCACAAAGGTAACAACTTAAAATTAGGTATCCAACACTATACTCTGACTGGGAGCAGAGAGATGAACCTCAGCGTGGGAGGCATAGTAGAAAAATTCAGAGAAAAGTCAGTAGGAAAAGTTAGAGAAAAGAAATTTAAGCTAGTTATCTGTCTCTTCAGTTAAAATACCTGAATTCAGAGATAAAATAGGGGTTTGGAGCCTGAAGTATTTTTGTTTCTTTATGCTTCTCAGGTATGCATATTGGTATATGGCAAATAGCAATTGTGCATCCTCATAAAAATACTTGCTAAATCCTGCAGCCTTTAGTCAGCCTTTCTCCATCATGAATTTCTATTAAACATCTGATCTAAACCTAGTGAAGTCAGTGAGAGTCTTTCAATTGCTTCAAGCAAAAATTGCAAAATAACAGCTGGATCCACAGAGAGACGTGGGGGATATGATGCCCAAAGTAGGATGTACACAGGTATCCCCTGCTGCTATGTGCCAGCTGATTGCCTTGGAGCTGGTAATAACCATGCTGTCTGTCTTGAGAGGAGAGTACTCCAAGGGTGGAATTCCAACTTTGAATTCAGATTTGAACCCATATGAGCAGATCCTATGGAAGCATATGCTTCCATTACTTCCTCCTGGAGTGAGAACATTTTTGGGCCAAGAATTATAACACTAAATCAGTAAGGTGGGAAATGACCACTGGAGGTCATCTAACCCAACCTCCCTGCTCAAGCAGGGTGCCCTGTGACACATTAGTCAGGAAAGCTCCACACCCTCTCTGGTTAATCTGTCCAGCACAGTAAAGCTCTACCTTATGTCTGGGTGGAACCCTTTGTTCTTCAGTTTCTGCTTGTTGCCTCTTGTCCTATTGCTTGGCACCACTGAGCAGAGCCTGTCTCCATCCTCTTGCAGTGTGTAGTACAGGGTGGTATCATGGGAGGGGAAGTGTGGCAGGAACAGTCAGGTGTGAATTACCTGAGTCTTTGGTGTCTCACTTTTACAGCCCAGGCCCTCTGTCATGGCAGAGAGAAAGGCACAGTGGAGGCAGGAGCAGCAGCTCCACAGGCTATGGCACTGCTGGCTCTAACACAGTGTGTCCCTGTCGTGACCAGCACAATGGCTGTACTGTCCCTGGTCCCAACCATGATCAGTCCCCGAGCAGCTTTCACTTTTCCCCAAAAGCTTTCTGCTTTTCTTTGAGGGCTGTACTACTGTGTTCACTAGCTTCTGCAAACCTCTCTCTGGACTTCTTATTCTCCTGCATGTTATTTTCTTCTGACAAGAAATAGTTATAACAAGCAAAGTCCAGCTCCTGGTTCTGTGTTTGACTCTGGAAGAGATCCCTCAGGCTGCACTGTCCAGTTCCTCCTCCAACCTTGTCATGCTGATTCGTGCTTTAGCCTGTAGCTTCTATTGTTATATTTATTGCTAAACAAAAGCAGTATTTTCTTGCTCCCTCGCTTAGGCTGAGTAGAAGATAGTTATGTCCACCAGCTTCCACGAGCTTTGTGGCTGCTGGCTGCTCAGAAAGCTTACTTGCTGAGCACCACCTCATCTCCAGCAAGGCAGGGTGCAAAAAGCCTGATGGCCTGGCAAATCCAGTAATTTTATCCAAGCCCATATGGATCTTATATTATTCATGGCTTCTGATGGGCTGCATAGTCCTCACTGATTTAGTGGTTGACTTGTGATGGTTTTCGATGAGTCAAATCTCTGTAATAGTGACACTACATCCATGTATGTGGTAAATGTGAAAGAAAACAGATGTCTATAAAAATCACTGAGTCTGATTTGGAACGATGAACAGTATTGTGATTAACCATAGCTGTACAGCTCATGTGTAGTATTTTTACAGGATGGGATGGAAATTGCATGTTTCACACCTATATGATTTCTACCTTAATATTTGGACTCAGTCAAATAAAGTTAAGTGGACTGTTTATTTGAGGAGAAATGGCACAATTACTACTGAGTTTTGAAACTTCTAGTACAGTCATGCACCCTTGAATTCACTTCAACATTGATTTTTTTTTAATGGCAATATCTGCACTGTGCTCATATGTAAAAGGAAGCAAACAGTAGCCAATGAGTGTCATCTACAAATGTGGAAAGGGAGTGTAGCAGTTGGTCCCCTACAGAATTCTCCCAATGAACTGTAAATGTTTTTAGTTTTGTTCTTACAAGTTGCCTCAGACTGAAGCTAAAACATTTGCTGAACTCTAGATTAAGGACAGAATCCTAATGCAGATTTAATCAGACACTCTGAAGCACAGAGTTACAAAATTTCTGAGATCGGAAGGCAAAGAATTTCGCAAAAATAAGTATCAGCCAAGTCCTATTCCTGTAAGACTGGAGGTTGAATAATGGAAGAGCAGTGGCAGAAAGTAATAGCTGAACACAGAAAAATGAAAGGTCTGACCCTATGAACTAACTTTAAGGTCATGAACAGGATCTTACAAAATCAACACAAATTCATTACTGGAAGAAACTAGAATAAAATCTTAAACACAGGGCAAGTGTGATGAGTCAGATCTGGTCAAGTGGTGTATACGTGCAAAATTCTGAATAAAAATAATCAAATTAACATGCAGTGAAGAGAGAATTTCCATACTGAAGCTGTAGTTTCCTGAAGAGATTTCTCTAGATTGCCAAGCATGGTTTGGACAAGTCACAAGACAAAAGAACTCCTACTTTTTGCAAGTCTCTGTGTGCTCTGTAACAGGATTTTGGGAGATGGAGAGACAGTTTGCAGGGTAGACATATTCCTTTGTTGGATTACTTTCTTTGATTTCAGGATTGAGGAACTCTTATATTCTATGGAACCCTCTTAAAACCTTGTATTCTGGTTTAGAGAAAGACTATAGAATGTTCTAAATGCAGTAATGAAGATATGGGTTTTGTTTTACAGAAGTACATAAGATATATGTTGGTAAATGGACACTGAGTGTAGGTGTTAGATATCTTTCAGGTTTTTTTACTACTTTTTGAAAGATGATATTTCTCAGAATAATGTGAGAAGGCTTGGAACACTGATTTATTCCTGTTGGAAAATCATTCTGCAAATGACTCCAAATTGCAGTAATTTAGAAATCTTGAGGTTCTTTCTATATTTGGATTTGTACATTCTGCAAGCTTTTAGTACAAATATATGAATCTTTGGTAATTACTTTAATTTTTGAATAGATCTTTAACTGAACTAAATACATGAATGTACCTTACAGGGCTCAGGCTTTGTGAGACATTTCTGCTAAATCGGCTTATGAATTTCCTTTTGATGAGCTTAATTGTTGACAGATTTTTCAAAAGCCAACAACAGCCTGCTTTGCTAGCTAGTATTCACATGAACTGGATAGTCTTGTGAAGTCCTTTATGCAATTTGCATAATATTTTTCTTTTACTCCAAGATGAAGTGAAATAATTGTAGTGAACCTAACAATGTTGGACATTGTAAAGACATCAATCCAAATAAAATTTAAAAACCAGAAAAATTACCCTCCCAGCCTGTTCTTCAACATCTCAAAATATGCACAGCTATCAAAAACAGACTTTAAAAAAAACCAACTTTACTCCCAGAGGATTATTTAAGAAAAGGTCCTAAATAATTATATGTTATCTTCTAAGGAAGATATTATGAAGATACTTTGCTACTTTCTTCAGCAGTAAATTGAATTTTCATTTGAGATCCCGAAAGTCAGAATGCATTATATATGCAAATATATTCATTAAATCAACAAAATAAACAAGCCATTTTGTCCAACCATGTTAAACAGACAGATAAATTCTGCATCCTATCTACCCAGAAATTTTTGTTGTTGGTTGTAATAGTCTGGAATTTCTGTCTTTGAATTCTACTGTCTGAAGCATATGTGAGAAGAGAATGAAATGTGAGCTGAGCAGTAGAATCTCTATCCATAATGATGGTTGTGGATGTCTGAGTGAAGTGAAGCATGTAGAAGCCTCAAAAATAACTGACCTTGTTTTTCTCCAAACATTTCTGAAGAATTCTGTTCCGTTAATAATGCCTTAAAAGTAATAAAGACTGGGATCTGTGGATTCCAGCCAAATGAGGCCACATCCTACAGTCCTTGCTTTGTCTTACTGGAGTAAATTTCCCATGTACTCATGATAAGACAGGGATGAAGGATGAGTAAGGATGGCAGGATGGGAAATGGTTTGTCACCTCCGAGACTGCGTTTGCAAACTGCTGGAACCACAAATGAGCTCAGTGTTTAGCAAGATGGTGGATGCCAGCATGAAGCTTGGAAGTGCCAATTTTAATTAAAAACTGCATTTTCAAATCAAGTTCCTAGTTAACAATGGGTGGGAAATTCTTCCCACCATGTAAGTTTTCTGAATGCTGTATTGACTGTCAAGATGGGTACAGCTTCCCTTTCCACAAAAGTCCTGCTACCATCGTCTTCCCCATCACCTCCCCCTGCCAGAAGAAAAAGACCACATTGTTTGTGGAATGTCTCCTGGTTCATGTCCTGCATTTAGGCCAGAATAGACAGATTTTATTTTGTCCTCTCCATCCCCCTTCCTTCATTGTTAACAATGGAGTGAATACATGAGATTAACATGGCTCTTGACATGGCTCAGTTGTTTGCCATTTGGAAACTACAGATTTTTCAGTTGTATAATTGTAAGAGGAAAAAAGAGTATAAAAAGATTCAGTCATTTTCTGTTTATTCCAAAGACAGGGAGAACAGAATACTAGGGGAGGGAGAACAGAATACTAGGGGAGAGGTGGGGGAAGCCAACAACAAAAAACAAATTAGTTTAAGAACCAGCATGTTCCCCTTACTTTAAGGAACACAGTAAACATTTCAAAAAGGCATGCCAGCTCATTATCTAACCCAGTCTTCATTGACTTCATGAAAAACAGCAGCAGTTAAGCAATGTTTGCCAAAAGCAAATTTGGGTACATGCATTGCTAAAAAAATGTGACATCCGCTCTGTACAGGTTCCCTAATCTGCCATACAGGGGCAAATCAACATTTCATCATTATCATTTCTCTCTGTTGTTTAGTCCTTTCATGATTGCTCTTGTAGTCTGTTTTGATCATTGTTTATCCAAAACTGTGCTATGACGTATAATTTGAATTTTTAGCCAGAAACAAACCTCTGCAAGTATTTAAATATGCAGAGATAGCTTTGGTTAATATAATCTCATATGTAATATCTGTTTGCAAGCGTCTTTTTTACAAATCTTATTGTTTAAAAAAACCTTAAATGGATGTGGAATATTTATGAATTCCTTTTTCAAGATTTGAGATTTAATTTGTCATTAATTTAATGTATTTTTAGAAACTAGCTTTGTTTTCTAGTTCAGGAATAACATGAGTGTCTTTCTTTTTTATTCATTTTGGTGGCATATGCAGTTTACAGTTACATTGTTAAAAATACTGTGACAGAGCATTTGAATATGCTTTATATTCAAGTATTGCCATTTATTGTGATAATAAGTGATACAGCATATTTCATTAACTGTTCCTTATGGATAAGTTACCCATTCCTTAGTAAATGTATTCCTCTGTTTGTTCAAAATATATAAGTTTACAAATATTTTGAATCATATTGAACTTTGTTTCCTTTGGGAGTAATTCTTACTCAAGAGAAAGGCAAGCATCTATTGAACAATTGTTTTATTAAATAGCTTAAAGAAATGTTCCCTTCAAAAACCATACAGGATGTACTCCAGAGTCCTCCCATTTTCTGGTGTGCATGTTTGGGTCCTGTGGGCATTGATTTCTTTCATTGTAAGTCTGCTTTCAAAATTATTGGGTCATTTTAGTAAGCTTTATTTTGCTTTGCAATCTATGTACTCTTCTGCCATATGTTTAAAATTCAGAGTTGCTGTGCAGCTCTGATCATTAGTTTTTCTATTCCACATATAGTATATGATACTCTTATTTTTTATGAGCAAAGAAAAATGCTTGTTTACTTGTTTCTTATATATAAAGTTTCTGATTTTTAAATTCTTATTTTTAAAAACCAGAAACCCTCTAATTCAGAATTTCATAATGAAATGGAGAATTCTGTTGGTAGAAAATAATGCCACTTGCTTATGTTTTTGAAACATTTATCTCATTTTCCCATGGGGAGAAAGAAAACAGCTGTTGAAATTAGGATTTCAAAATTGAGAAAAAAATTAAATAAACACCCATTTGACATTTTATCAAAAGCTGGAAAATGCTGGTAAAATTTATCTTTGCTAATTTCCCCCTTCCTCAAAAATCCCTCTTGTTATTGTTGAATTTGTTAATCCTCATGAGGACCAGGTGACAGAATGCAGATTGGATTTTTCTTCTTTTTCTTTTTTTTACATGGGAGGAATGTGTTTGATTTTTTTAGGTGGTTACATCCAAACCAGAGTATATCAATATGTTCCATATTTATTTCAGGCTTTTCTTTGTGGAGCAAAGATTGCTTCACTTCCATGGTGTGGTTACTTCAGTGAATGCAGTGCAATATGGGAAGGATGCTGACGTAGAAAATCAAGGTGTTACACTTTGAAAGCAGTTTTTAAACAGGAGAAAGAGCATTAATATTGACAGTCGAAATAACTGTAACTGTTTGTGTTGGTGGGGGAAATGTCAGAGGGAGAGTGTGAGAGGAGCAGTATGTGTTTGTACCAAAGGTCTCAGCACATTTTTCCTGATAGCAGCCAGCAGAAGGTGCTCAGGGAGAAACATAAGAAGCAGGGCAAGTACAGAGTGACTCTTCCAGCTTCTGACACTTGGCAGTTTTGGGACTCCCTGTGCTGAAGTTGCATCTTAAGCATTGTTTTTATGAACCACTGAGTGAGGAAGCAACAATAGGAACAATGGATCACTGTTCAGCATCAGTGGCAACTGTGCTTAGAAATAAGTAACAGTGCCACTTCAAAACGCTTGACACGGACAACAGAGACAGAAGAGCCAGGAAATTATGGTAGTGCTGAAGCCACACCCATGGCCAGAGGCAACATCTCGCAGCTCCTCCAAGATGTGAACTCCTTGGGATCTGAGAATCCCTGCTAGGCAGAGAGGTAGGAGCCAAACTCATCATTATATAATGCAGCAACTTCTGCCCATGTGGTATCTTAATGGGATATGGTGTCTTGTTCTTAAGCGTAGGGGTTCCTGCCTGTGTGTTCCTGCTGGGATTTTTGTTTGGTGAGAGCTGGCTGACTTTGCCTCATACCAATACATGATGCCATCAGTCACCTGATCTCTTGAGGTTGACTTCTGCATTCTCTCAGAGTTAGTCGCATTCTTTAGTTCCTGTAGAAGGATCTGCCTCATGTAGGATGAAAGCAATCCCACATCTTTTCCTCTGGCAGGCCTCTTTGTGGCCTCCCCAACAAGTAACTCTGTGTAAGACTTCCAGCACAATGCTTGCCCTAATATGTGATCAGCTGTGTGTTTCTTTCCACAGAAAATAATTTGGAAAATGACACAGTCTGAAGAATAATGGGACTTCAAAATCTGGCTCCAAATTTCCTTGTGAACCAGTCTGCTTCTCTGCATCTGCAGAAAGGGACAGGTGGGTTGCTGCAAAGGGCTTGGGAAGCCCCTCCTCAGTGAGCCCCAGTCAGCCAGAGCCTGCATGAGGCAGCGAGTCCTGCTGAGTTCCTGCAAGTACTTTGCGTGCAGCACTTCTGCCTGCAGAGCGTCAACATGCTGGGACACAAAAGAGGAGGTCCTGTCCTGGTGTGAGCCCTGCACAGGACGGGAGGGCAGCTGTGATGGATAGGAACTGATCTGTACTGGTGTCGTGGGCAGTTCCTGCTGTGCTTTGGAGGCAGCACGTGTACGTTTGAAGTTTGCTTGGGCATGCAGGGTAATGTGCCAACACAGGTTTTTGAATAGTTCCTTGGGGCACAAAGAGTCCCATTCATTGCAGCAGATGGCTCTGAGTGTAACCCGGCTGCTGGACCATCATCATCTGCATGTGCAACTCTTCCTTGTTTTACTTAATTTTGCTCTCATGTTTTACTTAACCCCGTGTAAATTTTGCTTCAGTGGCGACTGTGTTAAATCATCAAAAAATGTCAGGAGCTGAGACTAGATAAGAATGAAAATTGTAACAGTGTCCATAGTAATAAGAAATGAAACAAGTTTTCCTCTGCCACCTGTCTCCCTTTTCCTGAAATTGAGACGTTTTGAATGGCAGGCCTTGTTTCCTTTTGCAATACAATTATTTTTACTGCATCCTTTATCTTTGTCTTTTGGAAAGAGCAAATAAAAGCAAAGCTTTGCTTCACATTTTTACTTGAAGATAAACTGGGACTTTTAACACAGTAACTTTTAATAACTGTTTACTTTTACATTGATCATGGCCAGTTGTCAGGGCTACAGCTACATGGCTAAACTCCCATGCTTTTTAATAAGAATTTAGGGGTCAACGTTTTTGAAAGTGTGAGAAGGATGGCACTGGTGCAAAGCAGTGGATATCCTGCACACTTGGCCTGAGAGAACTGCAAGACTGAAAATGCAGCTGATCTAGGTCAGTCCCATGGAAGTGGCAGGACACAATCTGTGAGTTACACTGATATACACAGTTACATGAAGAGAGTTTTTCTGTATTTTGTTTTCATGGATAAACTTTTGCTACCTGCTAAATTTAGACTTTTAGATTCATTTCTGCAAAGCCAGAGCTGAACCACACCCTTCAAATGTGAAGAGCTGTTGCATTAAATCATTGTGCTTCTCAGAGGGCTCAGTCAAATGAGGACAAGATTGCAGGCAGGTGCAATTTCCGTTTAGAAAATTGATAGATGGTGCTTCTGCATTCTGTAATGTGTTGGTTTTAGTCTTTACAAAATACAGCTTGCATTCTGTTATAACTAGTAACAAATCACACATCTGGAACAAAGAGGAATGTAGCTGAGTAATATATTTTATTTATCTGCAATCTGGTTCAGATCCCCTGGTTCCTTTCAATTTTAACTGTGCAACAAATGTACTCCCAGTCTTAATTTTATCACTTGTTATAACATTTAACAAAGGTCATTGTGACCCAGAGGAAGCTTAAGGGGAAAGTGTTATGGTGGATCTTGGAAATGGAGTTTAACTGTGATGACAGTGGGCGTGAAGCCAAGCCCAGCTCTCCTGTGTGCATTTAATTTGTGCTCTTTATTTTTCCTTATGCTGGGCTGGATTCAATCATGGAGCCGCATCTATGGATGAGGCAGAAATGCTCAGTAATTAGTACATCTTTCTTCTCTGATTCCTTTTTTCCAAAAGAATACTTTAAAATGTTTACTTTTCCTGTGGTTGGATTGTTGAATTAATAACAAAAATGTAGCCACTGTTGAAAAGAACACTCTTCCAGTGGGTGCCTAAAATATTTAATTCTGTGCTTAGTAACCACCATCTTGTCAAATCTGGTGACAAACTTTCTTTTAATGGGGATTTACTTGCTCAGGTCACTAAATTCAACACCATAATATCCTTGTTTTTTTAATTTGTGATTTTATCCATTTAGATTTTGCCTGCTTAAAATCTGTCTGATTAGGCTGGTGCAAAGTAAATTATTTTTTTCTGTTTTGGAAATGCCAAAGCTATCCTGATTTCCAAAATATTCAGATAGAAATAATTGCTCATATTATTAAAATTTATTAAAAATTATCTCAGAGAGATTTTTGCTATGCTTTGCACTATTTTTTGCAACAGTAGAGAACGTACCCATAGATAGGCATTTGTGTATCTAGCCACATTTATAGCTGCTAGTGCTTCTGAGTACAAAACTTTCAGAAGCTTAATTTCTAATAAATTATTAGAGCTTTGGTGTATCACATAGTTTAGAAACGCTTTCCCAAGTTATTTTAAAAGGCAGTATCATATCTTGCATGGTTTTTTCACATGCACAGGTTTTACTGGCTCTGTAAGACACCTTGGTGCTGTGTTTATCAAGTTGTTTGTGCTTAGATGTTACTAATTTATGGATTTCTGTACTGTTGTATTGATTATGATTTCTGTTTCCTCTGAGGAAGAAGTAACCTGCAGTGCTTCAAAAGTGTGTGTTCAAGAACATGGCATACATTAATTACGTTGTGTCCTGTCAAAAATGGTCACGTTTTTGAAACATAATCAATTTTCTGCCTTTTCTCCAACTGCACTCAGAGCACTTTCTCTATTCTTCTGTTACTGTTCCTGTAGTGAGGAATGTTTGGGAGAAGGAGTGGCACTTAGATGTATTTAATACATTCAGTTTTTTATCCTGTGCCCATTTGGTGTAAATACCTGGCATTTCTGTGTTCTTTCATATTTGCAAATATATATATGGATTACTGATTTTTTCCATGAGTTCTCTAGTGCTATAAATGATACCTGAGGCTTTACATCTATGCAAAGTCAAATGACAAGATCTAAAAAGTCAAACATGCAAGCTCAGATGAGCTTAGCTGCTAATAAGGCAGTTTAAACTTTTTTTTAACTTTTGCTTTTTTTCTTTTTTTTTTTTTTTCTTTTTTTTTTTTTGTGAAGGTAGGAGTTACTTTTGCAAAGAAAAATCTTTCAGCGATTGTGTAGCTCAAAGTAAGCAATTTTCATTCTAAACGTAAATATTCTTGTTTTGTTTCTAACTGCATCATATATATTACTTGCATAGGAAATACACATACTGCTATTACTAACATTGTGTTGTAGTGATATTTCAAACCGAAATTGTGGATTTCTGTGTCTTTCTGTGATGATGTTCTTCATATTCATGCACTTCTGATCATTATTGTATGTTCAGCCAATGGAAGGCCAAAATCCCTTTAAAAATACATTAATCACATTAAAATTTGTTACCAGGCTGTTCAAAGCAGCTACAGGACATGTGTATCAAATCACAGTATATTACTAATAAGTTTTCAGTATGGTTTCATTTCCTACCTCCCTCCTACCATTGTGTATTGGGCTACAAAAGCAAGTGTTGTCTCTAATCAAAGTATGAAAATGCAGTATTCATAGTTTCAGGATGTCATGAGCAATGAAGAGTACATTTCCTGTGGTTCTGTGATTAGTTTGTACTAAAGTATATTACAAATGTAGCTCTAACATTGTCTCCAGATAAAAACAAAATAGGAAAATGTATCAGGCCCTTTATTTGCCAGAATCACACTGAGTAGAAGTTTAACTATTGTGTCAAGGCTATCTTCTCAACAACACAACAGGCAAACTGAAGTGAATAGAGAACAAAGTACAAATGTGTTTTCAACCAGCATTTCCATGAGATAATTCACATTTCACTGTGTACTTACGGGATGCCACTGTGACACTTGATATATTCATGCTGAGTAGGTAAGGGAGGGGGAACCCTGTTGTTGCATACTTCCCTTATGGACTCATGGCCCTTTCCTCCCATGTTGCCAAATCCAAATCCAGCCAATTTCTGCCTGTTTTAAGTATAATTATCCCTGTTTCAATCAGTGCATACAATTAAAAATGTTAGAATTTCACTTACCTGTGTGTGAACTGCCTAGCGTGTTGGCCATTCTGACCCTGGTAGTCAAGGTGGCCATCTCACAGAAGTCACCTCTGGTCAACCAGCAAAGTTGCTGCATAGTGAGGAGACTTTAGAGACAAATCTAGGCCCTGTTAAAGTCAACGATGGTTTTGCTGTTGGCTCTGATGGCTTCAGAGTTTCCAAAAGTTATTTCAGTATGTTCAAAGATCTGTTTTCTCAGAGCATTATGTGCAAATTGGTCTCTTCTGCAGTGGCACTGTGACCTGGGACTTGGGATAAGGGAGTTTGCAAAGGGCCAAGAGCAGCTCATTGAAAACTTCCTTTCTAGACCATAGAAACCAACAGGCATTTCTGAAAATACCAGTAAAAAGATGAATCATATTATCTGGTATATCTTAGAACTTCTGATTAAGTATTTAAGAATTTATGCCTAAATATGCCAATTCTTTTAACTAAGTGACATATTACCACACTGGTTTAGTAGTACAGTCACATTTTATTATCTTGCATGATTCTGTGGAACAAAGCCCTTTAAAAGCTTGTAAGGCAATCTAAATACCATTTAAAGTTTTTTGCTATTATTATTTTAAATGCCAGAACAATCACTGAAGAATTTTAATATTATTAATATATATCCAAAAATATGAATACTTCACTTCTGCTTGTTAAAACAGTATTACAACAAGGTGTAAATGTGTTTGTAGTTAACTCCCAGAGAACTTGGTGTCAGAAGAAATGTCACTCTGTCTTGTCCTTTTTAGGAAGGTGGCTTCTACCAGATGTAAGCTCAGAAATGGCAATTGCCATTCACATAAATGACTAGCAGGTTTATCCTGGCTTTCTCTGGGGCCGTCTTGACTTTTGGCAAGAGGCAAAGAGCAGGACTACAAGAAAATAGTAGCTCTCATGGGAACAGTAAAAATATGTTGGTATTGTTTAATTCTTTCACAACATGCTAAATTAATTTATTTGTTGAATCTTTTAAAGTATTATGCCATTGGGGAATGTGTTTTTCATATAGCAGTCTTACAGATATATTAAAGTTTTAGGGAGAACAGTCATAGAGTAAACATCACTGGTTATTCATG